CTGTGTCAAGCCTCTGTCCCTCCCTGCTGCTGTAGGCTCAGGGCCCACTGAGACACACCATCCTCCCTGCAGGGTGGACAGCAGATGTGCTGCAGATATTTAGAGCACTCACTGGGGATAAAGACAGCGTTCACTGCAGCTGGACTCCCATGCTCTTGTACAGGCTGGGGCTCCAGGAGCCACCTATGCTACAGACCCAGTCTCGGGCCATTGCTTCCCGTAACAGGTACTGAGGATGGGGGACTACCATGGACTGGGAACCTGCTACCTAGCCTTGGAGCGGAGCCCTGCAGCCAAGAGAGAGAGCAAGGAAGCAGGCAGACTTGCTCCTGCCCCCCAGCCCCTGCTTCCCTCTTACCCCTGAGGAAGGACATGGCCGCAGCATCTCAGGACCAGCCTCTGAACAGAACCACCACCGGGACAAGATGGAAGTGCCAAAACATGCACACACATACATACACACACGTGCACAGGGGTAGGAGAGCAGGTGAGATGCACTTACTGGAACTGCTCTCGCTGTCACTGGTGTTTGATGTCACGCCCTCTGCAAAGCAACCAGAGAGACCCCCTTTAGAACAGGGGTGGAAGACATGGGGGCACCCTGGCTGTCACCCAGCACTACTAGGCCAGGGCAGGGCAGCACTGGCCTCCCAAAAAACCCACACCCCAGCAGCTGCTGGGACAAGCCTGTGCCATACGGGCAGGACAGCATCCTTGCCCTTTGCTGGGAAACCAGGAACATGCAGGGGGATGCTTGGCTACCCTAGGAGAAGGCAGGGATGCAAGGAAGGGGCTGCCTGGCAGGCGTGGGCAGGCATGTGCAGGCACTGGGCTTCCCAGGCCGAGGGAGGGAAGGTGAGATGCATGGGGAGGAGGGTGCTGGCAGGGGGAGCGGGTGCAGCATGCACATAGGGGGCACGGAACGGCATGGCTCCATGCCAGCACGGGGACTGGGGGGGCCTACCTCTGGGGAGGGGCTGGGACTCAGAGACAAGACAGTGAAAGGATGGGACAGAGTTTGGGGCTTTGCTTGCTCAGGCTGATCCCAGTGCTGCAACCACCCAACAGGGGCTTGATGGCCACTTCTTGCGCCCAGTTGGGCTCTGCACTGGTCAGGGGGGCTGCAGAGCTTGGCAGGGGACTCGCAGCCAGGAGGGGCAAGGAGGGGCTCCCACCATTGTTGTTTTGCAGCTCTGGGTACATGGTGTCCCAGAGGAAGGTGGCAACACTTCAAAACACTGTCACCCACCCCACTCAGAGGGGACTTGTCATGGTCACAGCCACCTCGCACCAGCACTGGCAATGACTCTGAGTCTCTGAGCACTAAACCAGCAGCCAGCCCAGGTAGCAGCATGAGGAAGAAGAGGATGAGGAGGTACAGCTCACCCCGGGTGCAGTGGGCAGCCCTCAGCTGGGCACGCTTAGGGCACAGCCAACATCCCCAAGCAATCTCCCCCATCCCCTCCCACGTGCAGCAGCAACACGCCCTCAAGCCCAGCAGCCTCTGCCAGCAGAAGCGCTGTTCCCCAGCAGAGGAGCAGCGCCCGTGGGGCTCCTCGTTCCCCACACCCAGAGAAGCGCAGCTGCCCCAGCTGGAGCCGAGCCATTCCCCAGGCACCAGCAGGCATGCCAGCCATGGAAAGTGAACAATGCACATCAAAATTCAACTTACTCAGGTTCTTTGCTCCATAATAATCGTCACTTAACCCAGGGAAGTCCTGATTTCACAGACAGCAAGGGGAAGAGAGGGAGAGAAGAGAGTGCGGGAGAGGGCAGTCAGAGGGATGGGGGAGACAGAGCCAGACCAGCATTAGTGACAGGAGTGCAGAACGGCCCAGAGCTGCAACTGCAAGTGAGGTTAAGTATTTTCAGAGCTGACGCCATCAGCCCACTGCCAACGTCTTGCCTTGTGCAGCTGGACACCCCCATTGAGCTCATCCTCTTTGCCAAAGAGTCCTCAAGGGCCACCCTGGGTCTGGGGAGCACAGGACAGCCATGGCAGCATCTGCTGGCACCGAGTGGTTCTAGCCCCAAGCTGCTAGCAAGCAGGGCCGAGGTTTTTCTCTGTGATGCCTCATGGGGTGTACTGGCAGGGTGCAGCAGTTCTGTACTCCCCTGGAACAGCCCAGCCACTCTGGGGGCAGACATGACACAGTCAGCCCTCTACCTCGTAGCAGGGGGGCATGATTTTCCCCACTTATGTGTGTTAGCTGCCCACACCCCAGGGCTTGCATGGGACATGGAAACATGGGGGAAGGACCTCCACTGCAAGCTGGGCTGGACAGTGGCAGAGCATGCAGAGAGTGCTGGCTGCAGGTCTTGACAGGCTGACGAAGAGCGTTGCCTGCCCCATTCCCATGCCATACGTCACTGCACTGCAGGGCTGGCCAAGAACAGTGCCCCAGCAAGACCCCAGCTCCCCTAGAGAGCTGACTGGAGCCCAGCCACCTCCAGGCACTATGAGAGATACTCGGACACACAGACAACCTTAAGCACAGGCCAGAGGCTTGTGCTGGTTGCTAAGCCCATTAGAAGCTGGCATCAGCCTGGCATGGGCAGCAGTGGGATGTGGGCAGCCCAGCATCAACCTCCTGCTTCTGCATCACACCCAGGAGAGCCACTGGAGAGGACGGGATGTGCTCACTGTGCTGTCAGCAGGGCAGAGACACTGCTCTGCTTTGCCCACCTCCTCTTCCCAAAGGTGTGAGGACTGTGATTCTCTGTCTGGACACTTGCCGAAGAGGTGGATGCAGTTTAGCATCTGGAAGGAGGAGGGGCTGGGTTCAGCAAGCAGCTCCACTGCTGCCCACGTCAGGATTTGGGGCAACAAGCTGAATGCCCTGCCTTCGCTGGGAGCCCCCGGGTGCTGCAGGTGAGAACTGGAACTCCCACAACATCTGCAAAACTACCAAAGATGTGCCTCATCACAGGTGGGTGGCTCTTCCACCGGCAAGGGCATAGCTCCCCTGTGCCCACAGGATTCAACCTGTGGGAAGGGCTCCCAGATGGGAATACATAGCTGTGAGTCACTTCTAGGGGAGATGAGAAATGCAGCTGGGACTTCCCCAGGCCCTCAGTCCTGATGGGGACAGAAGCTCTGCAGCCCCTCACTTGGAGGGGAGCAGCCCTTGGCAGGCAGAGGGAGCAGAGCCCACAGCAGAGAGGGGAGAGCAGGGGGGAGGCAGAGCAGGGGGTCAGGTGGGTGTAAAGCTGGATGAAAGGATGAAGACATTGAACATGAGAGAAAGAGAGCACCAGCCTGCAGCCACTGCTTTCGTTTCAAGCTCTGGTTTCTCTCTAGCTACTGGCACGACTGTGGAGCACAAACCTGAACATGGGCAGATGCCAGCACCCCAGCTACAGAAATGTGCCAAATCTCTCCCCTCAAGGCAAGGGACCCAAAGGTCACACAGTTGCCCTCTCTGGCCAGCTGCTACTTACGTTCCTGTCCGCTGCTCTCCTGGGCCAGGTTCTCTTTGCTCTTGTAAAATGGAAACTTTCGAGAGAGGCGGAAACTCTTTTTATGTTTCGTTTTGATTGACTGAAGAACATGGAGATGGAAGGGAGGACAGAAAAAACAATGGTGTTTAATGCACGTGGGAAAAATTAAAATGAAGAGACAATGAGGAGCTGTGTCAGGGCAGTTACCCTCAAATGAAATCATGGAGATTACATGAAAACCATAATGCAGGAAAAAAATTAAGCATGGAAAAAAAAACATGTGGCAGGGATGCCGGGAAGCTGATGGGGCAATCAGCAGCTCTGCAGTGGTAGCCAGGACGTTCTCCCTTCCTTGTCCACTCGCTAAGTGCTCTGTGGGAGGGGTGAGGGCAGCTACCTGCACCTGCATGAGCTGCCTGCAATCAGCTCCCAGCCATAGGTTGCAGTGGGATGTGCTCTGCTCCCCCACCACTCCAACCAGAGGTCCTTCCCCAAAACTTTTGCACCATCCTGGGTTCCTCTGCTAACCCCCTGCACAGTCACAGAGAATTCATGCCGAGCAGGTGCGGGCCTGGGGCAGGTCCAGTTGCGCTGCTCTTTGCTTTGGGATTGCTCCAGCCACCCCACTGGGAGCTCTGGCTGCTGGGACTCATCCTGCCCCCACTAGCTACCAGCTCCAGGCACCCCACGGAGCCCCAGCTCAGCACTTACCCTGTTGGACTCAATCATGCCAGTCCTGGCGTGGAACTTCACTGTTTTCAACCGCGCTCTCTCCTTCTTTTCCACCCTGATCAGAGGTTAAAGGGGAGAAAGAGCCGCTAGTCCTGTTGCATGTACCCTCCGTTCCGCCACCGTGGCTCCCCAGGATGCTCCGTGCACCCTCGGGTGGTGGCCCTGTTGGCGAAGGGCAGCTCCTTCCCAGAGAGGGATGGAGGTGGAGCTGCCTGCCTGGGGTCTGGCCGAGGCCAGTGTCTGCAGGAGCAGGAGAGGAGACAAGCCAGCCTTCCTGGCAGGGGAGGGATGGAGGACAGAGATGGGGCTGGCTCCACTGACCTGAAGGGAGTAGCAGCCAGCTCCTCTGCTCTCTGTGCCTTCCCATCTCATGGGACCTGGCTCGTAGAGCTAAGCAGGTTGTCAAGAGGACACAAAGAGCAGCCCACAGTCACTGCTGTGACTCTGCTCTCACTTAAGAGCCCCAGACTGGCTCTCCATCCCCACGGGGACCACAGAGGGGGCTGAGCACTCCCCTGCTCACCTGGAGTCTCACCCAACTTTAGAGAATATCTCCTAGGGAGACCTGCACACAGCCCCAGCTTGCAGCTGTGGTGCCCTTCATGCTGCACAGCCACGGAGGGGCAGGTGGGCTGGGACCACAAGGAGATCCCACCCAACTTTAGAGAATATCTCCTAGGGAGACCTGCACACAGCCCCAGCTTGCAGCTGTGGTGCCCTTCATGCTGCACAGCCACGGAGGGGCAGGTGGGCTGGGACCACAAGGAGATCCCACCCTGAGCAGACCCCAAGGGCTGCAAGGCTCACAGAGGCTGGGGAGCTCCAGGAGGCACCACATGTGAGAGGTCCTGCTGACAGACACTCACCTTTTCTTGCTGGGGATGACCCCAATCTGCTCGCTCTCGCCATGGGGTGTGACAAGCCTGGCTTGCCACCACTCATCATCAGAGGCATTGATGACATGCAGGATGTCCCCATAGGAGAAGCTGAGCCCTTGGCTGGGCAAGCAACTGTCCCGGGTCCGGTCATAGTCAAACAGGGCTCTGTGGAAGAGCAGAGAGAAGAGCAATGCCTTTCCTAAGCATGGCCAGGCAGGGAGGGCAGCAGCACTGCTGACCTCCTGGGGCACTGCCACCTTCATACCTTGAAGGATTTAAACTCAAACTTTGGGGAAGCCTCCTGGCAAGGCGAGTGGTGCCATGCAGCCACCAGCACACCCCTCCCACTGGCGGGCTCAACACAAGCCTCAAAGCGTGCAATACAGGAATAACAGTGCTGGACCAAACCAACTTGCTCTTGACCTTAGCTGGGAGAGGCACATGAGCCACAGATGCATTGAAGGCGGCTGTGGTTAGTGAGCAGGCAAAGCTCACGTGGCCTCAAGAAAGCAGCAACATGCAGGAGGGCAGTGGGGAGCTGAGGTGCAGCACTGCTCCCCACCATCCCTCCCGAGTGGCCGCAGGGCCAAGGAGAGGGATGAGGAACACCAGGCCCCACTGCTGGTGGGTGGTTGCACAGACACAGACCCCGGGGCGCTTTGAGCATGTGCTTTATTTATGTACAGGGGTACATTAGAACCTGTGAATTAGCAATACATCTGAGTGTATATATATCTGCTGCCACAACTGATCCTTTTCAGACTCCTAAATACTTCCCCTGAGAACAGTTTATTTAGTTTAAAATTATCTTCAACATTAAACTAACCAACTACAGAAAAGATTTTTTTTTTAAACTAGAGGAGCACCAACACCCTTCCTGCTCACACTTTATCGCACACAGCACTGCAGCCCGTACCTGCAAGCTGCTCTCAGTGGCTTCACGTGCAAGTCATTCTACTAATTTCAGATCTCAAACCATGCCTGCTTTGATATATCCACTTTGCAACAAACTAAACCAAGAGAACAGTCACTAAAAGCACCACTGCCAGCAGCACAACCTCTGTATTCACTCCTGGGACATTGGCCCCATTGACACCCCAGCCCAACACAAGCCCTGGCACTACAAACACTGGCTGGCTGCTGGTTTAATTCTAGCACTAACAAGCCTTCCTCAACCAGGAGAGACACTCTCTGCTCTGTTCATTTCCCCTTTCCACTACAGAGACTCCTAAGGCAGTCTGAAATCACACAGTGGCAAGTCCCCTTGGAGCAGCAGAGCTGGGAGGGCACTTCTTCAGCCAGATCCCTGCTCCCTGCCAGGGGAGTGTCAGGTGAACCTTTTGGGTCACTTTGGACTGGGTCAAAGCAGGTGGTCTCAAATGGGGAGGAGGAGAACAAGGGCTGCCCTGTGGCTTGGGGAGGGCTCTTTGGGACGAGACCCGATGCAGCCCTATGCATCCAGCCACCAGGTTGCTCTCCCTTGCCTAGCTTGCTCAGGGCTGGGGCAGCTCTTGTACTCAGTCTCTCTGCACTCAAGCGTGGCCCCCGGCATGCCAAAGCCAGCAGCAAACCAGCACGGTGTGCTTTGGCTGGTTGCAAACAACCCTCGCAGGCAGCTCCTGGCCAAAAGATAAGGCTTGTGCCTGGCCGACGGGCCCCTGAGAGGCCAGTACTGCCGTAAGCAAAGCAGGAGCCAAGGCCCTGGGGAACTGGTCAGGCCGGTTCCCAAACCGAGGTGGGCTGTGGGGCATCCTGCCCACACCCTGCCCTGCAGAGCGGTGCAGGCCACAGCTCCCTGTCTCCTACTGCAGCAGCCATGGGCATCCCACGGCAGGCACAGCAAGATTTGTGCAGGGGCCAGACACGTGTGAAGCAGAGGCATGAGGCACACAGCATGAGCTGCCAGGAGAGCAGATGGTTTGGCTGGAGGGCAGGGGAGCAGTGCCAGGGACTCGCCATAGCTTCCTCCCGGTGCCCAGGCACAACGCCTGCCTGACCCCCATCCCCGCCCCAGTGCCTGTGGACTTTGCCCTGCAGCAGCACAGGCAGGCAGACAGCAGGTGAACCTGCCTTGGCCCTGCTGCGCAGCTGAAGCTCCAAAACACACAGTGAGCGCCAGCACCCCCAAATTGGTTCCAGCAGGCAGTTGAGTGCCTCACTCTAGCCCTGTTGACAGCATGTGAGGTGCAACACAGCTTCACGGGGCTGACTCAAGCAGTTGGGTAGCAAGTCCTGTAATTGGTGTCCTGTCTGCAGTGCAGCAGCTCAGCTGGTTTCAGGTAAACTGTACTCGAAACTACCCCGCCCAGAAGGGCTGGGGCAGCCCAGGTGCCTGGTGGCTCTTGCAAGCACGTTTGCAGGGTGCACAGCTGCCAGAGCCAGGGAGGGTCGGGAAGGGCCACGCTGAGAGAAAGCTCTCCCCTGGGATCACCCTCTCAGCAAGGCATTGCCCAGCTCCCACCTGCAGCCACCTGGGTGCATGTGAGGGGACACAGCGCTGCAGCGGCCACCAAAGCCACGTGGAAGGATGCATCAAGAGATGCGAGATGCTACAAGCAGCCTGGAGGCGGTGGGGAGCGCTCTGCCTTGCAGGCATGCCCTGATAGTGCACCACCTATCCATTCAGGGAACAGGAGATTCACAGGCTCAACTAAAGCTGGTCCCAGCCTAAATCCTGGTCCACCCACAACAGTATCTATGGGACAGCAGGGGAGCAAGGGCAGGACTAGCAAGATGATGTTCATTCAGCATGCCGCCTAGCTCATTTCACACCTCTAGCACGGGGCCCCAAGATGCTAAATCAAGCAAGAACCCAGAGCTGCAGCTCTCCCCGCCTGAAAGGCAGGGCTTGCACTGAGTCCAGCAACAGCCTGAAGCCCCTCTGCGCAGAGCAGTCATTCAGTGGGAGATGCAAACTGTGGCTGATGCAGCCTCAGCCCTTGTCATCCTTCCCATGGGGAAGGAGAAACAACCCCTGCTCCTGCCAGCCTGCACCTGCAACAGACTGTGCAGGGCAAGGATTTACAGGATTATTTTAATTACCAAGTTTAAATTACTCATAAGCTGTCATCCCACTCGCACTGTGATGGGCAGGAGGCAGGCAGCGAGCAGAGGCTGCCCTGGTGGTGCAGGACTTGCAGCAGTTAGAGCTGCATGGCTGCTTAACCCCTGTGTGCCCTGTGCCTGGCTCTGGAACAAAAATGCATTGAGGGCTCAGAGTAATAACCCTCCTAAGAGCTCATCTGCCCTCCAGCCAGATCCTGCTGCAGGAATGGCAAGAGGAGATGGAGAAGCTTGTTAGCAGGGAGTGGTTCGAGGAGAGTGCCCTGAATGCTGCCCCAAGTGCTGCTGGATGCCTGGCATTTCCCTGATTCCCAGTGGGCCAGCCCAGGGCACCAGCACTTTCCAAAGCAGAGCAGCCTTTGGAAGATGCACTGGAACAGAGCACTCAGCCCTAGCGAACCAGCACAAAAGCACCACTCTCCCTGCTGGACCCTCCAGACTTCATGATGCATCTATCACACTCATTTCCCTGGCCTCCAAAACACCTGTTCACAGAGGTGCTGAATGGCCCAAGGTGTACCGTCCCACCCTGTATCCCATACTGTGGAGATATACCCATCCTACCCACCTCTGGCTGCCTGTAGGAAGGGGGCAGAAAAGACTGAGCCTTACCGGACATAGAGGGATCTCTTCTCACTTGTACGGAGCGAGCCGGAGCCAGAGCTCATGCTGCTGTTCATCATCTGCTCTCTCAGGTCGTGGATCTTTGACTCGAAGCGGCTGTACTCTGCAGGAAGATAGGTGTCAGCGCAGGCAGGAGCTGCCCCTGAGCCACCCCCCTGCACTGAGCAAGGTGCAATTGGTAAGCACTGAGAGAGGCAATGACAGCCTGTCTGTGGGGCATTTTGCCCATGAGCTTGTCTGTCCCAGCACATGAGAGAGGACAAAGCTGAAGAGGCTACAGTACTCTGTGGGAGTCCAAGCACGGTACCTGGAGCAAGCAGGACGCTGGCTGCTCCCATACCCACCCCAAACCCCTGTACATGGAGCTACTGAGCTGCAGCTCAGCAAAGGAACAACTGGGCTCAGCAAGCCGCTGACCTACAGAGCAGTTCAAAATGTGCACAGAACGAGAGCCCCTCCAGGAGACCGTCACCCACTGGCTGGAGCAGCAAGGCATAACTGCATCATCAGAGGGTCTGCACCCACTGCTCCCCTGCAGGCATGGGGAAGAGGGAGGTAAAGCATGGCTGTCCCTGCCCATGGAAGGGGAGCAAGGAGGAGGAATTCACCTTTCTTTCCTACATCCTGGCAGCAGAGACCTGCAGGAGAAGCCAGGGGACCTTCCAGAAGCCAGTGGCACCTCCCTGCCGGGCAGCTGGACAGGAGCAACCACCACCCCAGCACCTGCTGCCACGCCAGCCCAACCTTCAGCCGGGTGTAAAGGTTGGGCTGGCAAGCAGAGGGTGGAGGCACCAGCCCTGCTTACCCAGGGCTGACTGGGGAAGGTTTGCTGGGCGGTGAGCAACTGCAGCACCAGGGAAGCTGCTGGCACCATCACAACCCACCCCAGCAGTTCTCACCCGGTACCCTTGATTTTGTCCCCTGGGCACACCCTGCAGTTATATCCCCACATCGCGGTGAGAGGGGACCAGTCTCATCTCTGCTGTAAGTCTTGCCTAGAAAGCCTTTTCCACAACCCAGCAATTCAGATGTGGTTTGGGGTGGGTTTTTTTGTGAAATGGAGCACAGCAGCTGAGCAGCAGAGGTAAGCGCTCACTGCAGAGCAGAGCCTCAGCGGTGAAGGGGATTGTGCAGGCTGATGCCTGGCCTACAGAGCTGCATGGCATAGAGGTGGCGGGAACACCACACTGCTGAGAAACGCACCGTGGGCTGCATTTGACAGCCAGCCCCTCACAGTGAAGGGGAGAGGTAACCGTCAGTGCAGACACACATGGGGCTGGGATTATGCAGCTGCAGCATTTCCTGACTCTCCAGTCCTTCATTCTGCAGCCAGACCCGCCTGGGCATCCCCCTTCTGCACTCAGCTGCCAAAGATGCATTTTTACTTAAAGACTGAAGGAAAAGGCAATATATACAAAAACTGCCAAGCAGCACACAGAAACTCCACATGAAGCCCCTTTCCCTGCTGTGAGACATCAAGAAGTGCCACGCAGCAGGCAGGGTCAGCCACTTAGTGCAGAGGTCACCAGACCCCCACCAACCCCAGCTGCCCCACACCAAGGGGCACCCACTGCCCCTGCCTGCCTTCATGCTACCAGAGGGAAACAGAAGCAACCAAGCATGGGCAAAGCTTATTTTACAAGAAAACTGAATTCTGACACCAAAGCAGCACTTTTGCACTCAACAACCTGCACTGGGGTTTTATGGAGCTCCCAGCAGAGGGAGGTGAACTTCATCCCACTCCACACCTCTTTCCCCACACCAGGGTGGATCACAGCATCTGTGGCACAGCCCATTCTGCCCCTGGATGTCCATGGGCTCTTACATCCCAGAGGAGCATCTGTCAGAAGCGGGTACAGCTGCTTTGTAAACCCTCTCTGGTACAGAAGGGCTATTTCCCCTGGAAAGCTGCTGAGCTGGGTGCTACAACCCCCATCCCCAGCCAAGTCACAAAGTCCCAAGTCGTTCCAAACCTCATCAGTGTCACAGACTCTCTGCACACCCTGCACTGAGAGGACTGCTGCTCCCCGCCATGTCGGCTCACATATCTGCTGTGACACCCTTCTCCACAAGAGGCCCAGCATGGAGGACACGCCACCTCGGATCAGGCAGGTGGCAAAGGCCAAAAGCAGGTTTAGCCACCACTGGCATCAGGGCAGGGATGTCGGGAGGGCAACCTTTGGGTGCCACTGCCCTGCCAGCAACCACATCCCCTGCACGCGACCCGAGGGCAGAGCTCTCAAAAACCCCCACCTCATCCGGGGCATTCCATGGAAAGGGACTTTCCAAATTTTGCTGGAGAGGCCACACTGCTTGGAGGGGCTGGGAAAAGCCTGATGGCACAAGAAGCACAAGCCAGGCTGGATGCAGCAAACTGATGAAGGACACAGGGGCTGCGCTGGCTTTATCCCCCGGAGTACAAATGCAATCCCATCCCAGAAAGAGTCTCCCAAGGAGCCAGCAACCCATGCTTGCTCTGACTGTGGGAGGGCACAGGGCACAGTAGCAGCCAGCCCCAAAAGTAAACCTGCCACCTTCCTCTCAGCACAGGGGAGACAAGGCTACCCTGGGTGCGAGAACAGGATGCTCCCAGCTGCCACCAGCCCCCCCTTATCTGCATACTGGAGCAGCCTCTGAGACAATTACTGGCACATAATCCCCAGCAAGCCAGCAAGCAATGCTCCTGCCCTGCCCTGGCTCATGGCCACCTTGCCTCCACATCCTGGAAGGAGATCTCCTGTGCAGCCAAAACTTGCCCAGGAAACTTCGCCACGGCACAGCAGGGAGTTGAGCCACAGCTAGTCCCCACCTCCCTGGCATTCCCACAGGACCCAGGTGCCGGAAGTGTTCAGGACATGCTTATCAAGACTGAAAAACACAACAGGTGACCTGGCGCCTCTTGCTGCAAGTGCCACTGCACCGCTGCTATTCCCTCTCAGCAACTCGATAAAAACACTGCTCCACCCTCCCGCTGCTCTTTCATTCCCAAGGTGTGGGTGCCCCTGGAGCTGGGCCTGATCCTGCACCGTGGGCTGAACTCAGCACCAGGAGTGGGATACAGCCCTGCATGCCTGAGCACATGCAGGTCACAGACCGTTAAGATCAGACAGGGATTGCCTGCCTGCACCAAGGATCCCCAGCACCAGCACACGCTCATGTGGTGTGTATACCCTGTGGAGCCAAAAAGATGGCAGGTCTGCAGTTGATTTCTGGGCACCAGGAGACAGTGCAAGAAAAGAAGACACTGGTAGAGAGGGGAAAGCACTGGTTGCTTTGGAAAGCAACTCCCTGAGCATACATAAAGCCTCGTGTGCACGCCCTGCTCTCTCTGGCATGCAAACCTGCCTGCCCAGGGCCAGGCCATCAGCAGAGCCCACGTACGCTCAGTGATAGGCTCCAGCCCAGCCACCTGCAAAAATTATCCCCAAGTCCATCATTCACCTCCAGCCTGGCATTTTAAAACCCTAACCCACACCCCTTGCAGATGCAGGGTTAAAGTACAGACACCTCCCTGCACAGGGCACATGTGCCACAGGCCCAGGCAAGCAGAAGGGAGCACAGCAATGGGGAAAGCTTGAAGGCTTTTAAAAGTCACCATGCAGCCTTGGCACTTCCCTTTGAACGGCCAGCTCGGAGAACTGCTGTCACGCAAGGTTTTGTATTTTCAGGTGAGGAATATCAAGGCTTTGTTGTGTGAGGCATGAGGAAGGGGAATTGCCACACCCAGACGCTGGTGATAGCGGCAGGCAAAGGTCAAGGGGAGAAGTGCTCAAAGGGAAGGGACCTCATAAACAGCTCAGAGGCACCATCACAGGGAGCAGCCACCTCCTCCTCAACGGCATGCAGTAGTGGTCAGAGGCGCTGCACCAGGTGCAGGTGCTCAGAAGAAAGGCAGGACAGCAGCTCCTCTTTCTGTCCTTCCCTGGTTTTGTCTTCTTTCAATTCCCAGTGCCAGGCAGTGTCCCACAGGGAAGGCACCTCATCCCCCCAAGACCTGTGCAAGCAGCCTCTCTGCTCCCTTGGAGCTCCTGTGAGGTCAGATGCAGAGCACGTGTGCACTCATCCAGCAGCCTGTGGGCAAGCCCTACCCATGCTCACATACGAGAGAAAGGTGCCATCCTCCACTTGTGCTAGCAGGGAGGAACTTCTCAAAGCCCCTTTCCACCAGCATCTCCTCCTCTGGGCATCCTACAATCCAGCTTTCCTGCTCTTTCCACAGCCATGATGCACACAGAAAAGGCAAACAGTTGGGAGCACACGTTCCCTTGAGGACACCCAGCCCCACCTGTACCCGGGGTTCATGCCAGGGAGATCTTTCTCCTGGGCTCCCAGGCCTTCAAGCCTCTGGAGCACTGAAGTCAACTCCCAAGATACAACAGTCTGTGTTTCACAGCAGCAATGCTGCCTCCCAGGACAGCTGCAGCTTGTGTGCCAGATGCTGCTGCCCACATGTGCCAGGAGCTATCATGGACCCAGAAAGCCACCGGCTACAAAGCGCTGAAATTTCGGCCTTGCCCTAAAGAGGTTTCAAAACATTTTTGTCCTGTCTGACATTTAGGAACCACTCTTGGTTGGTGTCTTTGCCAAATCTCAAGTGGCAAAGGCAGCCAGAAATGTAAGAACATTAAGTGCTTCCTGGAAAGAAAGAAAAGCCAAAACAAACAAACCCCACAGCACACCCCTGAGTGGATCTAACTGCTCTGTGCCCCAATGGTCTCTGTCACGGGATAGAGGAGGAACAGTGGGGACAGGGACCTGCAGGGCACTGCCCAGCAATGCCACCGAGGCACAAGGTGAAGGGCAGGTGAGGGCCAGCATGCTGGCCTCAGCAGAGAGGACCAGAGCTGCTGGTAGAGAAAACCAGCGAGGCCCAGGAGAGAGACCTTCATCAGAGGACATGAATTGCTGCATCCTGGCATGGTGCTGCTCGGGACACGGTAACAGCACAGCAGCAACCCCAGGACCAGCTCCCAGCCCCTGGGCCGCTGGCAGGATGCCCTCCCCAGCACTTGCCCTTCCAGCCCACGGGTGACGCTTCAGCGTGGGTTTTGGAAGGCCGCCGGCCAGCCCCCCTCCCACAGCAGCCACCACTGGCTGT